GGGGCGGGCCCCCCTGAAGCCCTGCCGCTGTGGGGAGGACGCAGTGCTGCGGCAGAGGACAAGCACGAGGAGGAAGGGGCAGCACAGAGGAGCCGTTATGTCCTGACAACTCTCCAGCCTCCTGCCCGGCTCAGGGCAGGAGGAGGTGGAGGAGTTGGGATGGAGGAGTGAAGCTGAGCCTGGGGAAGGGGCAGGGGGGCAGGAGGGAGAAGGTGGTGTCAGTTCAATTTTTGGTTTTGTTTCTCACTATCCAAATCTACTTTAATAAATTAGCCCACCACAACGTGTCATCTGAATGTGCATACCAGAGATCGCACAGCTTTTGCACTTTCTTCGAAAATACCAAGTAGAATGGCAATGCTTTGCACCTCAAGAAGCAACAGGACCATAGCAAACTCCACGTCCTGAACATTCGCCACAAAAGTGGTCAGCGGGTGGACGGCTGACATGCATGGGCATGTCACCAGAAACACCTCAATGCTATCACTGCTCTCCCAGTTGCTAATCAGGAAACAGTCTCCTTCTGGAGCACTGAAAAAATAAACTTTTCCTAGGGGATGAGCAATTCCTGCCACTGTCTTATGTGGGGCACATATCTATCCATGACATCTGCACAACTGGTAGGGGAAAAGTGAATAAGAAATAAAGACACAACGCAACAAGGCATATGCCCACATGTTGTATACTTCTGCAGCTTGTGAAGTATGCTGTTAAAAAAACACAAGTTGATGAAGACTGAGTTGGAAAATCAAAAACATTCTCCAGAAGCTGTAATCTTTGGTGGAAAGACTGCACACAATACATATGAGATCCCTGGGACAGAACTCTTCCTCACTGAACTCAACTAACCCAGTTTAAATAGAAATGCCACGATGAAGGAATTTTAAATGAAGCGTTCTTAATTTGTTTTGCAAAGGGTAAGATTCTACCAAACTAAGCTAGAAAATAATGTAGACTGTCACATACCTCTCTCATTCAAAAATCAGCTCCAGAAAACTTCAAATTCCTTGACATCTCCACTGTAATCTCAGGATGCTACACACCTTGCAGTCTTCCCAGCCTCCACAGCAAGATCAAGGACACACACCCTTTCTGTTCATTCTTGTCTTTTTCCAAATCCTTATGAAACACAGCAAAGACTCTGGTTCTCAGACCTCAGACACATCTACGCTTGCTAGATTGTTCCACCTCTAAGGAAACCTTGGCACCGATAATGTATTCTTGTCCTTGAGTCAAGAGTCTGACACAGCAGACCTCAGGCAAGCGTACCTGAGCTGAAAACCTCACACTTGACAGTCGGCATCTAGCATCCCTGGCCCTGATATAATTAAATAGGATTGGTCACACAAAATAACGACTGTCAAACAAATACCTTTCACACCTGCACTAACCATGCACTAATACCTGTGACGTCCTAACAATACAGTATTAAGATCTGTCACATTTACTTGTGCAGTTGGCCAAATCCCATCGCACAAAATCAACCACCCAACATAAACTCTAATTCTGAAGATAATAAATGAAACACAACTAGGAAAAAGAGCTGCTTGCCCTCTCTTCTTTTCAACTACTTCCTCACAGGCCTACACGCAAAAGATGACAGGAGACCCAGAGTTAGATTGCTTTCCAGCATGGCTGAAGGACACATATACTGCAACTCTGAGCATCTGCAAAAGGAATTCCGGAAAAGAACGTGAAACATGAAGCCCCGGGCTGTCAAACAAACCAAAGTAATTAGATTCCTTCAGGCATGTTTGAAAACCTCAGATTCTGATAGCCCAGTTTTCAAAAAAAGCATTTCTGAGGGAATCAAATGCACCTTAGGTGAATACTGAAAGAGCTGCATAAGCATCGACATAAACAGCAGACTGTATTTCTTTATTATAATAAATTTTAACTTCAAGCCCGCTGGGAAGTTACAAATGAAGCCTGCTTTAATAAGAAGTTAACAATCTAATACCTGTACCTGTGCCAACTTGGAAAATTTTAACAAAAAGCTTCAGAAGCAGAATGAAATGGTCTGTGTACTTCGGGAAGCTCATTTTCTGAAGTTCTGAATTTCTGATTTGCCTTTTGGTTAGTGACGCTTATACGCACAATATCTTCATATAGAGACTACACCCGCAAAAGAAACAGAAGATAAAGGGGGATTGTCCTTTTAAAGGCAAGGTTTGCTCTTTCTGTTCAAATAAACTCATAAAAAAGGCAGTACTTTTTTTCATCTTTGTAGCCTCACTCAACACAGTGCAAGCAGGCTATTTAGTAAGATATGCAGGATCACATTTTTTGAAAGGTACCTGACATTTTGAGGCATATTTTATCAAAATGTTTTAAACCTCAGTTCATTTTGCCTGTTCAGGACACATCTACCAAGAGGAAAACAAAGCCTCATGATGCTTGAGAGTGCACGTGTGGAAACTTGGGATGATTAATCATCTCTTCTGAAAGTTTATGAAAAGCTCTAGCAAGAATTAATTTACAGATACGTAAATCTGCTGGGGAAAAGTCCTCAACATAGATGCAATTACTGCTATAAGAGCATCCTGTATGAGAACTGAAGCACACGAGTGCAGCAGTAATACAAAAAATGCCATCAGAATTCCCTGCAAAAGCAAATATGGAACTTTTTAAAGGATCATAATTCTATTTGATAATTGTCATATGTACTATGACATAGCAGACCACAGTAAGACACAGAGGACTCACATACAAACGAAAACTATATTCCACCTATCCAAATTGTAGTATCCTTCATTTATACTAACTACAGAATAAGTACCAGAGGCAAAATAAGCACTCTATACCTAACACTGTCAGCTCAATTAATTAAAAAGATGATTCTAGAATTATAAAACTATAAAATGTAGTCACTTCTAAATTGTCAGGGCATTTAATTGGGTTTTATAAAAGAAATAAAATTATGCTTCAGTGCTTTTCAAGAGATCTGTACTTTTCAAACAACATTTTGTTCTAATTTTATAAAGTAATTAAAATTAAAGAGACCACAAAGTTAAAAGTATCTACAATATTCTATTTGAAAAATCTGTGAAGAAATACAAAAATGAATACAGAAACGTTTCAAACTAATATCATACTGAAAAGGTAATATCAGATTCCCTTTTAGAATTCCTATATTTTTAATTAGCATTAGTGGTTTTAAATGTTTACAAACTGATTTATCTAGAAAACACCATAGAAAAGAAACCTAAAGGGTTGCATCAATAGATACTGCTGCTGTGCTTTATTTCAGCTCAGAAAGAACCACCTCGCAGATTTGTATCCATGTCCATTAAGCTGTCGGCGTCTCTCGTCAGACTGCTAACAAAGGTCCAATTACTGAAAATTGTCATCTAAGTTTTTGTGACCTGGACAGTTACACACCAGGAAATTAATGCGATTAACTGTGTAACAGCCACCATAGAGTTATGAATTTCAGCCACAAATGACAGATTCTAATCTCAGTGGTGCAGAGCTCTATATCACTGAATGTATCATTATGCAGGAACAAAATTTTTAAGATACATGCCAATTCGCACCACACATCTGGCACTACATCTTTGCTTTATGACAGGAGTATTTTAAGTGATAGCAGAACTATGACCTTCATTTCACAAGTCCATTAAAAACATTGCAGTGATCTACATTAGGCTTCCTCCTGAGCCCAAGGAAATAAAAAATCCCCACTTGATTTAAAATAGTTTGTAATTCCACATCAAAGACACAGCTAAGGCCAACAAAAAATGTCAGCAGCAAAGGAAAATTTTCTTACTGTTTACTCCTGGTATCGACATTATCAAGCTGCTCCCTCTAACCATGACACTTATTTGATATTTCTGGCAACACCGTATAGTTAAAACCTTGCAGAGTGCTTCAAAAATTTACCCCTACATTTCCTTAAAATGCCTTCAGTCAGTGACGTACATCACACCAAGTGAGCTACCATGGTCTACCATCACAATTTAAGCAGGTACTGGGGCTTGAACATAAGCTGCTCCATCATAGCATGTAGTCACTGTTTCTTTCTCCTTCACAGCATGACTGAGACTCAAGAATACATTGCTTTAACTGCAAGCTATACAGCAATTCCAGAAAACTCTCACTTGCTGGTAAGCATAATTACAATTTACTGAAAGTTAAAAAGCATGTAGAATTAACAAGGACATTCTTAATTGTGAATATCTCAGCTGAAAACCGTCTAATATCTCATGCACTTCACAAGTCTGTGATACATCACGAACTCTTGCACTGGGCAAGTCATGCAGATCCTATATACTGTGCTCAATTCACCATTAGAAGCAACAAAGCAATCCAACTGCTCTGCACGACTTGAAAATACAATAAGTGCATGAATTAGAGAGATACAGAAATTAAGTTGTTGCTATAAATCAGTTAGTTCTGAAATTTAATAATCAATTTCTAGCACCTGATGTAAAACTATGATCTGTCAGCAGCCTCCCAAGCTGGCTGTGTGCAGCAGTAGATATTTCCAAGGGAATTAATTACTGATGATTTGTAAAGGTAAGAATAATATTTTTCAACAAATGTAGCCTGTGCACTAGGAGGTTAAACAAACACCACCAAAATGTCAACGGAGTTCTTGGCTTTGGTGTTCTCCCATTTCAAATGTA